AAATAGACCCACACAAAGATGCCCAAGCGATTTTTGACAGAGGTACATGGACGAGGCAGAGCTTTTTCAACAAATGGTATTGAAGCAACTGGACATACATGAGGGGAAGAAAAAGAAAAATGAACCTTGACTTAAACCTCAAACTTTAACTCAAAATGCAACATACTGTGAAATGTAAATATGCAAAACTTTTCAAAAAAAAAAACACAAGAGAAAAATTTCAGACCTAAGATTAGGTGAAGAGTTCTTACATTTAGCATCAAAAACATGACCCGTAAAAGTAAAAATTGAAAATTATACCTCATCAAATTTAAAAACTTTCCTCTGTGAAAAACTCTTTCAAGGAGATGAAAAAAGACAAATTACAGACTGAGAAAAAATTCTGCAAATTATATATCCCACAACAGACTAATATCTGGAATATATAAAGAACTCTCAAAACTCAACCTAAAAAAAATCCAATTAGAAAAGAAGCAAGACATTTAACTGAAAAGGATACACAAATGCCAAATAAGCGCATGAAAATATGTTCAATATCATTAGCCCTCAAGAAAATGCAAATTAAAACCGCAATGAGATATTGCTACAAACCTATCAAAGTGGCTAAAATAAAACACAGTGACAATACTAAATGCTAATGAAGATCGGAGCAAATGGATCACTGACATTGCTGGTCAAAATACAAAATTACACAGCCACTCTGGATGATGGTGTGGCAGTTTCTATAAACACTAAAAATTGATTTACCAAATGACCCAGCAATGGCACTCTTGGGCATTCACCCCAGAGAAATGAAAACTTATGTTAGTGCAGAAACTTGTATATGAATGTTCACAGAAACTTTATTTGGAATAGCTCAATCTGGAAACTACCAAAATTGACAACGCTTAAATTATAGTACATCCATAGTATCACTATCCAGCAATAAAAAGGGATGAACTATTGATACAGGCAACAACTTGAAGGAACTTCCAGGAATTATGACAAGTGGATAAAAAGCAAATATGAAAAGGAAACATACTATATAGTATGCTTCCATGTATATAAATAACATCCTTGAAATAATGAAATTATACAGACAATAAACTAAATAGTGGTTGACAAGGGTAAGGGATATAAAGTAGGAAGTGGGTGAGGCTGTGGAGTGGTAATATGAGGGGAACATTGTGGTGATGGTACAGTTCTATACGTTGATTGTCGTGGAAGCTACACAAAACTATACATGTGATAAGATTGCACAGAAACACACACACACATATATGTATAACTGGTAAAATCTGAATAAGCTCTGTGGATTGTACCAATGTCAATTTTCTGATATTAATATTGTACCAAAGTTAGGCAAGATGTTAACATTGGGGAAGGCTGAGTGAAGCATATACATTTCTTTGCAACTTCCTCTAAATCTATAATTATTTCCAAATATAGCTTTTACAATTAACCATAAGAAAACATGCACACCTGTAGTGACAGCCATTCAACGCAATATTTTGATTGGAAGAGTATATAAAGAAAAAATTCACCGCAGAAGTGAGATGGATGGCAAATAAGCACGTTAAAAGATGTTCAACATTAATAATCATTAGAGACATGCATATTATAATCAGAAAGA